ATGCAGGTTTTCAGTTCTAGGAGTAAAGGTACTCGAACTGTCCTTGTTGATGCCCCCTTGGGCTATCAAACCCTCAATCCTAGTCCATTACAGACTTAAACGGACCGAGTTCAATTCGAGGGGATACATTTCTCTATGACTAACACGGAGAATAAATTCTCACGAAGACATAGAGCATATACACCCCGAAAGTTACTTGCTAGGTCTGACACGGAGAATAATTCTCACGAAGACGTCGCTTTCACTCCCACTTAAAAGGGACAAACTCAATTATAGAGCTTTATGTTATGTAATGCAAGTGTTGTGTGTGAGGAGAAATTTTCAAACCTTTGACAGAAAAATAAATAACGAAATAAAATACTTACAAGTAAAATGAAACATATAAATATTATGAAAATAATAAGTAAATATAAAAATTTTGAAAAGAAAGAATTAAAAATTAAATATATGAACTTTTAATTTTTAATTAATAGAGACAATTTATAATTGATTTTAAAGTTTGACCAGTCCCCAGCAGACTCGCCAAGCTGTCGTAACCGGTTTTCGTCCGGGCACGAAATATTATACTTGGCTGAAAAATTTTATGTGAATAAATGGTTTTGAAAATAATTTGTGAGTCGCCATCGGCCTTTTGGGTCAGGTAGGTCGAATACCTAAAAATTATCTTTTAACAGAGTTTTTTTTAAGAAAACATCAATTAAAAAAATGAACTGATCTGCGTTTATAACCAAAAATTCGTTCTTTTTAATAATAAAAAGGGATTCGTGGTTGATTACGTTTAGGGAAGGATTAGCACCCCTACAACGCCCAAAATTGGTACTTTTTAATTATAAATTGTCTCTATTATTAAAATTTTAAAAAATCAAAAATATATTTAATTTATAATCCTATTATTTCAAAATTATATATAAAAAAATATTTATTTATTTAAAAATATCAGAAAAGAACTTCTAGGTGCCTTAAGACAGCTCCTTTCTTTGATATTGATAAATAGTAATTTAAATAATATTGTTTAATTTTAAAATACCAGAATAGGACATCCAGTTGTATTAAGACTGTCCTTTTCTTCGATATTAAAAATAAATATTAAAATAACTTATTAAAAAATTTAATTACTATTTATTATATATATATTTATGAATACATAAAAATATTTAAAAATATAAACAAGTAAAATTAAAACAATAAAAGTACAACTAAAACGATATATTTAAAATCAGTAAAATAAATGAAAACATTTAAAATAAATGACTAAATTATAGTAAAAGTAAAGTTAAAAATTCTAATTCATAATTAATCAAAATTATAGGGATTAAACATGCTATTTCTTTATTTTATTTATTTAGTGACTAAAATAAAATTATCTAAAATTTGGATATTATAATAAAATAAATTAAAAATATAAACTAGGGATTAAAAAATTAATTATTAAAATTAAGGGATTAATTCTGTTATTTATCCTAAATATATTATTTTAATATAAAGGACTAAAATAAATAAAATTAAAATTTCGAGATCAAATTAAAAGTATTATAAATTCGATTTAGTGACTAAAATGTAAAGTTTACAAGTTAGAAGGACTACGGATGGGGTTTAACTATTATCTAATTACGCGCATAGTCCTTCCCGAAACGACGTCGTTCGGGAAGGCCTATATAAGGTCCAAAACGGCTGGCCCGAGGGGCCAGCCTTCATTTCTCCTTCTCCTCTCTCTCTCTTTTCTGAGAGAAAAAAATTTTCTCTCGCTTCTCTCTAAAATAGAGAGAAGCCAGACGGCCGGCCTCCGTCTGCCGGTGTTTGTCCGCCGTCAACCACCGCCGCCGGCCACCGTCTTCGGTGGCCGGAATAATTTTTTTTTACATTGAAACGTAGATCGGACCGTCCTAATGACGGTTCCGATGATCTTTTCCTTTAAACGACTCCCGATCGGAGCAAATCTAAAAAATATACCTTCGGTTTTTCGAAGGTTTTGGTGAGATCCGGTGGTTGGCTTCCTCGGTAAGTTTCTCTTCTTCCTTTTTCTTTCTTTTCTGTTTCTTTGCTGCGTTTGTTGTTGAGATCGTTGGTAGTATTTGATTTCTCTGTATTTCTCTTCTCTCTATATATTTTCTGTCTCTCTTTGTCTCTGTCTCCGTCTCTGTCCTTTTTTTTTTGTTCGCAGATGGGGTGATGGCTTTATAGCCATCACCGGTGTGGCCATCGGACCGGTCTGAAGGGTGAAAAATTTGGTGAGTCACCAAAGCTATGCTGGTGACTCACCATAGAGGCGACGTGGACGGTCGGGGTTGTGGCAGCAGAGCTTCTGGAGGCTTCTTCGGGGTGGCTTCGTGGCATTGGTGGAGTGTAGGCAGCGGACATGTGGCCTTCTGGAACCAACGGCGGTGGCTGAAGACTTCTGAGGCGGCTGGAAACCATTGAGGCGGCGGCGCACGGGGCTAGGGTTAGAAAACCCTAACTGAAACCCTAAATGTTTTAGGGTTTCCATCTGGTTTGGGCTTGTAATATGGGCCTGATTATTGGGCTCCGGGTTTTGTAATATTAATAAATAATATATATTAATAATAATTATTATTATTATTATTATAATTATAATAATAATAATAACATTAAAATGAAAAAAAATGAATATCTTCAAATTCCATGTTTAATTTGGATCGGTTGATTAAAGTGGCAAGATTGTAATATTTGGAAAAATGCAATCGCAAATCGGTGAAGAATGATGTTGTTTGTTCATCTTTGAATTTGGAAAGATGATAAGGTTGAGGTGTCTTGGTTTGATGGTAAATATGAAGTTTCATTAAGGGTAAATTAGTCTTTTCCCAATTAAATGATTTTAATATTAATTAAAGATTAAAGGTAAATTAGCATGGAATTAATTTAAAATTTTTATATTATCTTTTACCTTTTGAAGAAAATAAATTTTTAAATCACTTTGAGTTGAGAAATATTTTAAGAAATTCATGTGATATTTATAACTTGTATTGATATAAGTATATGCGTTGTAGGTGTTACGGTGAGCCTGCATGTACTTTTACGTGGACTTGCAAATGAGTTTGCAGAAGTCTTCTGCACCATTGGTGGCAGACCTTGTATTTGCGTATACACACAAATGAAATGTGACAACGAGAATTTCAAACCATTCTTGTTTATTTATATCGACAGTATTGAAATCCCGTTTGATTTCAAAACAAAATTGGAATTAGCAATAGTTCCAATAAACAATAAATAAATTTTTGTTTACTTTTGATTTTGTTATCGTACAGAGTCAACGTTTCAAAACAAAATCAGTAACCAAAGTTACTTTCATGACAATTTCTATTAAACAGATTTGTCCACTTTGAGATTTTTGCAAATCTATTAAAACAGCAGGATAAATCCCAAAAATATTTATTAGCCATCTCATTTTTACCACTATATCTGAATTATTTCAAATTAAAGAAACGTAGAAGAAAGAGTCCTAAATCGTCTCGGATTAAAGGGGAAACATTAAAATTTCACCTACCTGATTGAATTCATCATTGTCAATCGAAACCTTGAACTATCAAAATTCAATGTGTGACCTCACAAAATGCACAACAACAAGGACTTCACAAAGATTTTAAAATCCAATTATTCAAATTCTTACACAGAAATTGATGGAACCATGTCCTGAAAATAAATTAAATGCAAAATCTTTACATAAGGGATTTTAGAATTCAGATTTCAGAATTGAAGCAAACATATCTTTTGTGTAAATTTTTCTTGATTTTCGCTCAAGATTTGTTTTGTCGAATTTTTAGCACTTCCCTTATAACAGTGATTAAACTTAAAAGAATTTTATATCATCTTGGTAAAATAACAAAAAATCTATCTTAAGACTATTAGACAAATCATTAATAGGAGAATAATATAGAAAACTAAAATAATGATAAATAATTTTAAAATACAATTATAAAATAATTAATGATAAAGAATGAGTTTACCATGTCTTAGGACTATTAGAAGTATAACAATATGAGACCATAATCACCTGAGAAGATAAAACAAATAAGTTTAAACTTCTTAAAAAAATAAAATCAAATAAATAGAAAGAAAATATTTTCTTAATTGATCTTTTGATCGAAAACAGTTTAAGTCTGTCGCTACACAATTTCCATAAGACATATTTTCGGCCACTCTTTTGGCGTTCGAGATCATTGGTCGTTTATCTACCAAGATACAATAACTAGATGATTATCTACAGTAATAAAATTGTAGAGATCACGAACTACTTCATCTATCACAGGAAAACTAAGAGGGAGTGAAAATATTTTCTTCGAGAAAGTAAAAGTTCTTGAATTTTTAGATGTCAAAAACCTAGCATGTTTGCTCAGTATTTATAGGAGATTTTCTAGAAAAATTTTCTCCAACTAAATATCTTTTAATATTCAAATTTAAATAGATTATATTATCTTTTAATATGAAATATTCAAAAGATATAAACTCCTTTTACTATTCAAACTTAAATACATATTATTTTAATTTAAAATATTTAAAATGATATAATTATCTTTGATATTTAAAGTTAAATACACAACAAATACCTTTTAATTTGACATATTCAAAGAATAATTATCCTTTAAATTAAAAACATCTTTTAATTTACAATATTTAAAAAGAACATGAATTTAATTTAAATATTAAATCTATCAATTAAATTCACTTTTTTCCAACATTATAGAGACAAAAATTGATACCATCCAACGACCGATTACCGATCAACTGCACTTTTCTGTCCAAACTAAAAAATGAACTGCCAATCGTAGTCCATATCATTTGATCGCATCAACAAACTTCATTTTTTATATTTGTGATTTTTTTAAATCACATCATCATATTTAAATATTAAATATGAATGTTGCACATGGATATTCTAAAAAATCAACAGAGGCTGAGGTTACTGGAACTAGATGTTTTGAAACATGGAGTTAGACTGTTTCATCAAAACTATGTTGTCTCATATGCTGTAATATGTAAATACATTACATATAATCAGAGACCAAATCAAGTTCAAGTAAAAGAAAAACTCATACTGGTAACAAAGCTGTGTATCATGAAAGAAATCGAGAGAGAGAAACATCAGCAATCCACTAGGTTACAGAAAAGGAAAATCTACCTTGAAAGGTTCTTAAAACCTTCTTCATCACTAAACAGGATAGCCAATGTAACTCTTAACGGTTGACGATTTAGGGTTTAGGATTATACGGTTTAAATAACGATCACAACATCACCTTATGGTGTTCTCCGACTGTTACGACACCAAAAGCACATATGTTATCGCGAGTTAAAGCAGTAATCTATCTTCAGACATCCTTTGCCTATTGACCCTGGCAATGAAATCATCGGCTCTTTTCTTCAATTCCTTGCTAGGCAAAACAAGCTCATGTTCTTCTCCCAGGCAACGCTTCTTCACCTTTTCTTCAACAGGTTTCATTTTCTTCTCTTCCTTGAGTTCCCGGGTCAAAGAATTTCGGAGGCGTCGACGGCTTTCATCGACATATTCATCATAGTACATATTTGTATCCCCGGAAAACGAAGAACCTGAAGCAAAAAACTTGTGTTCTCCAATCAGAACAACAACAATAAGGTTGCCTGCAATGAACATAAGATTGGGGAGATCATAGATGAAGAAAAAACACAACGTACAGCAACCAAACGCTATGAATGTATATGTGAAAAACTTGTCCCGAAACTCTTGTTTCTCAGAGTTGTTTGATTTCCTGTTGGCTCGAAACTTATGCATCAGGACTGGATCCATTGGAGAGCACTAAAGAGCTCACTCTAGGGGATGAGTTCAGATGAAAATTTAAAAGAACATGAACTGGATTTCCATCTGAGACTGATCCCTAAAGCTTACAACCAGAGGATTATATAGGGACAAAGGTGGTAGATTTCATTAAGATTTCTACATGTTGCTTTCTTTTTTTCTTTTATTTTTCTATAATGGGTTGGTTACTTTCTGAAAAGTCATGGGAGATTTATTAGTGTTTATCACTCTACTTTTCCCCACTCAATCAATTATTTTTCATCATCCAAACACTTCTAAATTCATATAATAGAAGGGAGTACAATATATGATTAGAAGATAAAGCTGAACTTGAATTTTGTTCAACTGATTTACATAATCATATTTTAAGAAATAGTTAATTGCATTACATGTCCTAAAAGTATGACTCTCATTCTAAATTGTTCCTTAAACGTTTAAATGTTTCAATTTCATCCCTAAACTATGACTATCATTCTAAATTAGTCCTCAAACTTTTGAACAATTAAATTTCATTCTCAAACTATGACATCAATTCTAAATTGGTCCCCAAACTTTTTAAACTTTCTAATTAATCACAAACTATATGCATGTACTATTCACATCCCTTGTTAATAAGATCGTTAGGCCAAGTTATATTATTATATGTTTGAAAAAAAAATCAAATTTTAGGTTAAACTATGGTTGAAACTAATTACATATTTTGATGGATTTGTCTATGAAATTGAAATATTTAAAAGTTTTTGGGACCAATTTAGAAAAAGAGTCATAGTTTAGGGATAAAAATAGAATGATCAAAAATTGAAGGACTAATTTAGAAATAGAATCATAATTTAAGGATGAAATTAAAATATTCAAAAGAAAGACAAATTTAAAATAAATATTATAGTTTATATACATATAATGCAATTAACTATTTAAAAATAACATATAAATTTAAGTTGAACATCTGCTTCGGTTTTTGAACTTTCTTTATATGCACCGCCACTGCCACTGCCACTACTCAAAGAAGCCCACTTAAAAAAGCATTCATGCTTTCCTTTACATTATTGGCGGTTGAAATATAAGATATTTAGCTTTTTCTTTCAATAATTCGATTAGTAGAAGGCACGTCGTCCACTAGAATTGTGAAGGAGGCTGGTGTAAGACACGGGAAAAGTAGGCCGGCACAAAAAAGATAGAGCCATGTTGGGATTTTCAATAAAAATAAAAGAAATGATTTCTAAACGGAAGTGGGTCTCGAAATATTTTTGAGGGTGAGTAGGGATGACAAATTGGTACAATTTCGTGGATTCCGCACCGCACCGTACCCGCTCTAATTTGGGTGGGGATGGGTATAATTTTAGTGGGTAATGGGCGGGTGTAGATTTAGAAAACGGTACCCGTCGCGGGTAGTGGGCGGGTAATGGGTTTGAGACCTTACCCACCCCGCATCCGCCCGCCCCACATTCGCCCGCCCAGTGAAATATCCATTAAATTTTGGACCATTATGAATTTAGGTATAATTTTAGAGACTAATTTATAAATCCTAATAGTGTATAAGATATAACTTATAATTTAACCAAATATTAGAGATAAGTTTATGCATAATTTTTTTTTTCAAACCTCTCATTACTACGCTGATCTTTCAAACCTCTGGTCTCCACTCTCTAGCTTATTCAGGTACGTTTCTTCCTCTTCTTTAGTCTTTAATTTGGTCTCTTCTTTAGTCTTTAATCTTTAGTCGAACCTCGGTGATATGATCTCGATTATGTGTTCCGAGTCATATATGAGTGTGCCCGATCGTGATTCTAGTCAGAACTCCACATTACTTTGAATGTAATCTGAAATTCGCAAACAACGTTGTAAAAAAGAAATGGATAAATAAAATATAGAAGTGGAAAGATGAAAGATATGTTGAAATTGATTAGCAGCGTAGGAAGAGTGATGCTTGTGGTTGAGGAAAATAAAGGATGAAAAGGTTGGTGAATATAGTAGGGAGTTCGTGTGTAGTATGAAGAATCTCAAGGAAATGGATTGTGACCCTCTAACTATATATGAGTTAGGAACCAACAATATAAATAGATGGAATCGAAGTGTAAATAGATGGAATGTTACCCACTAGCTATAGATGAGCTAGGAACCCACGCTATAACAAAAGGAAATGGATGAAGACAACAAGACCATCTTGAAGCTGATAAAGTTCTACAAGAGAACGAGAATGAAAGCAACCTCTCAAAGATGTTTTATATATTCAAAGTGTGTCTACAAATGATCCCAAAGGTGCCTATTTATAGTGTCATTTTTGGAAAATCAATGGACATGATTCTTGAATCATCATTCCCTCCCTCTTTAATGTGATTTATCCCCAAATCAACGCTTGCTACAAAAGGAAACATTCTTGACTTCCTTTTAGCTGGGAACTTCTTCATTCTTGTTTTCCACAAATACCATTCTTTGGAATTAAGTTTTTCTTGCTTGTGCACTTCATTTCCATGTTGTTCATCCAAATAGGTATATGGTCTTTGCATTTCTTCTTTGTGTTCCTTTGAATCATCATGACGGTGGGTGGAGAGTCTTGACCTTTGAACTCCTTCAAGTAGGTAGGTTATACCATCTCCTTTAATCTTTGTGCCCTTCCACATTATGAACCCTGAATAGATTGATAATGCCCATTTCATCTCCTTGAATTGATCATCACAAGCAAGATAAATTCCATGAATCAATATTCTACAAAATAAATCTAATTTAGAGCTTGCAACATCATTAATAAAATGAATGAACATAGAAAATTCATGAAAGTTCATGAATGGAAGTTGTCCCTTGAAATACTCAAGAATCAAATTCATTGAAACTTCCCTTTTATAAGGTTCTTTGAATGGATGGAGTAAACTTGGAATGTCAATGAACATGTCTCTTGTAACTTCAAGCTTCTTTTGAACTATCACTTTCAAGATAAAGTTCTCGTGGAACTCCCTCGAAGTTTACAAGGCGTCTTGAAAACTTTGGCTGAAACAATTGTGGCTTGGTTGGAGAATAATGTGAGAAAAGAAATAAATGACTACAAGAAAGAAAGAATATGAGAATAGGTAATGAAATCGTAAAGATAATGAAAGAAATGATGAAACGAATATGAAACCTTCTTAATTAATTTTTTAAAAGATGAAAACAATTGCTCCCACCCTTTTTAAATTTTTTTCTTTTTTTTTTGTGTTTTTACTAACCCGGGAGATAACAAATGATACGATATGCTTATTGAATCAGCTAGCTCTAATACCAAATGATATGATCTCTATTATGTGTTCCGAGTCATATATGAGTGTGCCCGATCGTGATTCTAGTAAGAACTCCACATTACTTTGAATATAATCTAAAATTCGCAAACAACGTTGTAAAATAGAAATGGATAAATAAAATATGGAAGTGGAAAGATGAAAGATATGTTGAAATTGATTAGCAGCGTAGGAAGAGTGATGCTTGTGGTTGAGGAAAATAAAGGATGAAAAGGTTGGTGAATATAGTAGGGAGTTCGTGTGTACTATGAAGAATCTCAAGGAAATGGATTGAGACCCTCTAACTAAATAAGAGTTAGGAACCAATAATATAAATAGATGGAATCGAAGTGTAAGTATATGGAACGTGACCCACTAGTTATAGAAGAGCTAGGAACCAAAGCTATAACAAAAGGAAATGGATGAAGACAACAAGACTATCTTGAAGCCGATAAAGTTCTACAAGAGAACAAGAATGAAAGCAACCTCTCAAAGATGTTTTATATATTCAAATGTGCGTCTACAAATGATCCCAAAGGTGCCTATTTATAGTGTTTCTAAGCAGCACATGAAAAGACTCAAAAGATGAAAACATTCTCATCAATTTAGCAATAAAATGCACTTGAATGCTTTGTCTTCTTATCTTCAAGGTTGGCTGAATATTTTAGATCATTTTGGGGATGAATCTAGACAATTTGAAGCTGAATTTGGCCTTAATTTCGTCCAAGGGGTGAAAGACTCTTGCTATTCCATGCTGAAAATTGTCTTAACAAGTGAATTAAATCACCCTTCATGGCATGCTCCCTTGAAGAATATGAACAACCCTTGAACTTAGATGATAACAATCAGCTTTGAATTCCTTGAATGGGTGAATTAAGATTCCTTCAATGGCTTGTCACTTGGCTGAAGTTGAAAAGACTCTCCCTTGCCTCAAACTTATCCAAATCATCCATGCATAAAATTCCCGTAACAAAATTCCACCCTGCACTGTCGTCAATAAATCGATCATATCTCAAGCTCACGATATCGGATTAAGGTGATTCAAAAGGTGTTGGAAAGCTAAGAGATATTGGAATAATTTCCAATTGATTTCTAGAACCAAACACATATGTATCGCATCCAGAATTGGAAGACATTCTGATTGACATTCTTGCATATGATGAAACCATTCAACTTCTCTCATGCACCTAGACACAAAGGTGAACTTTATTCAATATTTAATTGAAAGCATGCATGAAACAATTAAGAGTTAATTTAATAAACGAACTAGTTTGATGAATGAACTACTTCCCTAAATGAACTAGATGATTTAAATGCAATGCATGCTTAAATGAACAACACGCTTATTAAATGCAATGAATGTCATGGAACTAATAAAAGTCATGCAAATTCATGCAATGAATGGTATCATATGATAAGCATATTCTGAGAGGTAAATAAAAACATATGATAAAATATAGTGCATAAATGAGTAGATATATGATGAAGTAAGGTAGAACTCCCTTTGAATCATCCTTGGTGAACTTCAATGGTTTAATCAGATCAAGATAAAAGTTAGGGCTGATTGGGATCACATCATTCCCTCCCTCTTTAATGCGATTTGTCCCCAAATTGATGCTTGCTACAAAAGGAAACATTCTTGACTTCCTTTTAGCTGGGAACTTCTTCATTCTTGTTTTGCACAAATACCATTCTTTGGAATTATGTTTTGCTTGCTTGTGCACTTCCTTTCCATATTGTTCATCCAAATAGGTATATGTTCTTTGCACTCCTTCTTTGTGTTCCTTTGAATCATCATGAGCGTGGGTGGAGAGTCTTGACC